AACTCCACCAGGGTCTTGGCAAGGAATTTAGTTTTATAAATCTGCTAGTGCCTATTTCATTTCTGAAATTATAGTCTCCTCCTTGTTCTTCTCCTTCCTCAGGTTGGACATTATTAGGGTCATTTTGAGTTTGAATGTAGCAATTTTAGACATTCTATACAGATCCTTAATGTGGGATGAAAATACTTACGAAAGGTTCACTTGCAAATGGTCCATCTGAGTTCTAAGATAGTGGCCTGTTTGAAGGCTTGTACTTTATTCATGCATCTTTATTTTGGAAGAAGGCCCATCATTCACTAAGAGAGCATTTGTGTAGCTGTAGAAGGTTGCCAGGGTCAGTTGAATATTCACCCTCTTTGATTAGAGGATTTTTTGTAGCAGGATTTAGGCATGGCCTGGGAAGGCGTTGGCCAGAGTTAGCTATGCTGGATAAATAAACCAGTTGCCTGACTTGGTTTAGTGCAGTGTCATTTGTTCTTTTTATTGAAATATTACCATTCAAAAATCTTGCTGAACGTAAAGAAATCATCAACAAACTTAAAGAATAGTGTTTTACATTAGCACTTCTGAAAAGTTACTGTCAACATTGTGAAGAAACAAGTTTTTACTCCAATATTAATCTTAAAAGATGGAGAGGGGAACTGCCTATTTATTCACCAGCACCCAAGATGGCATGAAATTTGTTAATCAGAAAACGAAGTCATACATCAGTCATCTATCCTTGTTACTTTGTATTTTTTTTGTTCTCCTAGCATCTGTAGCAAATAGTTGCTGCAAAAAATCAGAAACATGATGATGTTCTCTACTTGAATGTACTGTATCAGGTTATGCCAAAAGGCATCTTTCAATGCTTAAAGTGCATCTAGTTTTTAAGAATAACAAATTCCAGCATCTCAGTCCGATATCACTGTAGATAAAGTTAACATACTCTTTAAATAGTGTATGAAACAAAGTGTTTTAAAATTAAATCTTTTCCTCTCTCTCTTAATCTGTCCATGCCTCCTTCAGTGCTTTTGATTCTTGCTTTTCAGCTCAAATTTAGTCAAAGGCAAACTAGCCTAGGGCATGCAGTTTTACTTGCAGTTCTGTCTTTAAAAAAAAAGAAGATAAAAAACAGTAAAACTTTGAGAGTCTCCTGTCATAGCATGGTGAAAAATACTCTTAGATTTAAAGAACACTAACTTCAGGAATTTGTTCATATTATCGGAACTGAATTGTGCTCACAGTCCTTCCTTCAAAAAAAGAAAGAATGTACTTCTAGTTTATTTCAAGCATTTCTCATTTGAGAAATACAATTTAAGGCAAGAATGGAAGTCATTTTGTTGGTGCAGTAGTTAAGAAATAGTGTGTCAGAAAACTGTAGATCCAGAGCATCTTTCTGCCCACCACTGAGCTAGTCTGTTTTTTCCTTCAGCATTGAAGGAAATAATATACAGTAGTGCTTAGGTGAAGCCCCCCCCCCTTTTTTTGCTTATTTTTGGCTGAGAATGCATGCAGGCAAACCAAAGCACCAGTTCACAGTATAGTACAATATGATGAGGTGTTGAAATAGCTAGCATATACCAGTTCAAATAGATAAAATCATACGTACTAGCTAGGTGCTGTGTTTTGGTTTGGAAAGGCATTATCTGCAAGATCAGATGGACTAGAAACAATAGCAGAAATGGTATGGTGTATCTCTTTAGAAGTGTCAGGTTTGACTTTTATTACCTTGTCATCTGTGCAACTACTGTATTTGTCTGCTCTCTGTGATCCGGCTTAATTTGGGAGGGGACTGGTGGGTGAATGATTCTGTTCATTTTGAATAGATAAATGTTTGACCCCAAATTTGCTTTACTTTAATTTCATAAAAAGTAGAAATTGAAAAAGTATTGCTAAATTACACTGATTATGTCCCTGAAGAAAGTGTATTCCACTGCCTGAGGGCCATAGAAGAGAATGCCCCCTCATGTGTGCCTGTTAAAAGGGCTTCTGCAGTGGTGGCCATTCTTAAGAAGGCCTGTCTTGAAAATCTTAACATCCAGACAGGTTAATTACGAGGCAGACTGTTTCTTAGCTAGCCAGGCCCCAAGTCTTTAAGGTGGGCTTTAAAGAGTAAAACTTGAATTGGGCTGAGTGAGCAGTTGGCAATCAGTGTAGATCTTTCATTATTCAGGTTCTGTCCTTGTGATACCATGCACCAAATAGCAGCCTAGCTGCTGCTTATTGTACAAGATAAGTATTTGTTACCATGTCTGTTTTTGTTGTTGTTTTCGAAGGCAGACCCAAAGTTGGCAGGAACTTGGTTCATGAAAGTAATTTTCACATGTCCAACTAGAGATCTGATTATAGGCGAATAATAGCAATGAAAGTGCTATCTGACAAGTATGACACAATGTGTGCTTTTATATTGAAATACCAGATGGGACGATTTAGCACTCCATCCATGAGCCAACACTGCTTATTGTAATACAGAGACATGAGCATTCCTGTATATAGGAAGAGCAGTATTGCAATATTGGAGGGGAAATTTTTTTAGAACTGTCAGTATGAACTCTTAATAGGACACCTCTCTGTAGGAAGGATAGAGGTAATTTTCCCCACTTTCCCATTTCTCTTGAAATCTTCTGTGCTTGCTGATAAGCTGTTCAAGAAAATAATTAGACTTTTGATCAGAGTAAGTCATGGTTTGTGGAGCTGCAAGAGAAAGAATCAATAGAAGTCGACCCAGCAGAGAGCTCCTGCTGCAGCTTAGTCTTTTCTACAAATTGGAGGAGTTGTTCTGTTTAAATAAAGGCAAGTTTAGATGCAGCTTGCAGAGAGCTCATACACACCACTCTTTTTTTCTGAGTAAGATGATTGCTTCTTCTCTCTCCTGATATTGGTTTGATGTATGTTGATTCTCCAGAACTTAGACATAGTCTTTCTCCAGCCTTCCTACCTGAAATCCTGTTTAGATGGAGATGCCAGTCATTGAGCTTGGGCTCTGGGTCCCAGTTTTGAGCAAAAGACAGGAGAGAAATTGAATGAGTAAAATAATGAATAAATACATAAATACATTCTTCCACTGAGCTGATGGAATCTAGTCATTGTGCTGATTTCCATAAATACACCTGGGGGGAAAAGGTCATACTTCTGGGAGGCAGCCTCACATTTTTAGAATCATCTTATAGATAAATAAGTCGTTTGAGAGAACTTGATTAATTTTAATACCAAAATCACCTTGACTGTGTCTCTCCTAAATTTGCAAGAGAAGCAATATAAAATTCAGCCATGCCAGATATTTCTTTGAACTTGAAATAAGCTTTATTAAACTCTTGAGGTTGTATCTGTGTGCTGCTATCCGAAGAGACAACTTCCTTGTGTAGACATTAGACTTAATGAGTTCCTCCCTCTGAATCCTACTGATTAGAAGATTTGAAGGGGAAGTACTGAGGGAAAAAGTTTTGAGTAATAGCATTATGCCTGTGTGCAGAGTGTCACTGTGCCATCTTTGGCTACATACACATTGTACAGTTTAACTAATTAGCGCCCTGTTTAGCTTTGAAATTGGTTTTATTTTTACAATACCCTTTTCCAGCACAACTGAATGTTATTTAAACTCTCCTGAGTTTCAGTGATCTGATTCTTGCATTGCAAACCAACATCTCACACAATATGCACTGCATTTGGGCCATACATAGGTTACTTCCAGTATTATGGTTTTACTTTTACTTTTACATATTCCTTAAGAAGTGTAGTAACAGCTAAATATAGTGTAAGACAGTAGATGTATTTGGAGTAGAGGCAAATTACTTGAAGTTCACCAAATTGAGAGGTCCATGGTCCATTGAAAAGCAACAACAACTTAGCCTTATAATTTAAAACTCACATTTAGTGTTGCTCATCCCCTACAGAAGTGAAAGGGCTTATGGAATGAATTTTTTCTCCCTCCATGAAGCTCCCCATCCGCTCCAGAGGGTTGGAAGACCCTTTAGCAGGTTGGGGAGGGTAAGAGGGCAAAGAGAAACCTTACTTTTATATATGTACTATTGAATTTAACCCCCAGATAAATCATTCCTAGATCCTAAGCTCATTTTTCTTAAATGTGTCAAAATGTGGTATAGAGTTGATCAAATAAACATTTTAGTGTAACTGATAGCAATACAGATGCTTAATATTCTTCAGTTTGTTGTTCTTGGGGAGTCTGCAACATCAGTTACTAACTTTTCAAGAGATCGAAGTTATTGTCAGTTGTTGACAAGTTCTTGTTTTTGTTTAAAATTCTCAATTTCTGATAAAGAAGAAATTTCTAAGAAGTTTTCTAATTTCTTAGAAAGTTTCATAAGAAATAGTTGCAGAGAAACTAACTACTTTAATAACAGAAGGTTGTTTTTAGTACAGCATTGAAAGAGGAATGAGTGACATAGGAATAAAACACTGAATTAAGTCCCTAACTTGTAGCCCAGTACCAGATGTGCTTTTAATTTTGAAGGTTTGCAGTGGCATGTGGTTGCCTTTCTTTAAAAAGCTAATTAACATTCAAGAAGGCATTCTGGGCTAAGTGTCCATTTATTTCCCTTCTAGCTCACAAATGTTGAAGTGTTTAGACTGAGAAACAAATATTAGATGATTGGGAGTCCAACCCACTGCTAAGCAGCCCCGTCCTGCCTTCATTGGAGCTTGTAGCAAGCTCCAGTAGGTTGGATGTGCACAGCAGTGGTCATACTTGGGTCTCAGTGAGATTAATGTAAACTGAAGTCTTGAATCACCTTTCTACTCCCAGTGAGAGTTATTTCCAGCTAACTTAATCTGTACCTAGACCAAACTGTGGTTCAAAATGTGGAGATTGCACACAACAGTAGTGTTTTATGAATTGAGCCCTTGATTGATTATCTAGCTAAGCAGTTAAAAATGGGTTTTGATGTTGGTTTTTAACTCTTAATTATATATCCACCTTAACATACTAATAAGTTGCCTGCATTCAGTACTTTGTAGCATCTAACTGCTTCTTCTCTTCCTTCCTTTTTGTCATCCTGCAGTGTTCTGTGCCAAGGTCTTTGTGGCTAGGCTGCTCCAACCTGGTAGAGAGCATGTGCGCACTGAGATGCCTGCAGAGCATGCCCAGTGTCAGATGTCTCCAGGTGCCTTTCTTCTTTCTTGTTGTAAATGTGTTATGCGTATGCTGTGGTCATTGTTAAAAATCTCTTTGGATTCAATTTAAATTGTTTAGTCTCCTGAATGTTTTCTGTATGATCCTCTACTAGTTTGCATGGGAGTCCTCCTTAAGAGGGCTCTATATGATGCAAGTCATTCTAATGTGAAAGTGGCAAGAGTTTTGCCAAAACCCTTCTTTCCCAAGCTGTGATGCAAATGTGGCTTGCATGTTGCCTGTTTTTGTTTTTTAGTTTATGCACTGAATTTTTTGGAATAATTGTTGATAGGTGGTATCAAAATTTTGATATATAAGTAAGCAAGTGATAAAGGAAACATATGTATAAATCAATTCTACTTCTGTTCTTGACAGTGTGACTACTGAGTGTTTGCATTACACGGGGTAATCATTTATTTTTTTGCTAGTATTAAATTATGACAGCAACATTTTCAGTGTTAATTGGCCTGAGGTTTTTTTTTCCAGATGAACAAATCTATTTTCAATTGAAAAGAGTAAGATCACATACAGATAACAAATTATTAACCCTGATTTCTGCAAGAATTTTAATTTAAGCTTTGTATAGGCAGTGTGTCGTGGCAGTTATATTGAATTTTAAGGGTATTATTTGATAAAATAGTTGAACCAGGCATATGTACAGTAGGACTGCTGTATCTGTGGGATTAGTACCTGCATTTTCAGTTATCTGCTGCCTGAAAGTGTTAAATAATAAGCTCAGAAATACATGTTTCCAAGGTGTATTACCAGAACTGGCCACTAGAGGGAACCAGATACTATGGCATATATAAGGTTTATTTATTTATTTATTTATTTATTTATTTATTTATT